TAAAAAGATCTCAAAAACATGACAACCAGAACTAACCGGCACCAAATTGGTAGAGTACACCTGCTCTGATCAGAGTATTACTCTACCACTAATCGAGTGAGAAACCAAATAGCTTTCTTAGCAACAACTTCCACTGAGCTGACAGGAAGCTAAACTGCCTGAGGTTTTTTTAAAATAGGAACCACTGTTGATTCTGTCTCACTGTCCTTGTACTACATTAAATGTTTCTCAAATTTCAGCTATTCCCATATACTTTCGTAATTTTCTTCAATATCCATGTACTATATATTTACTATTATTTGCTCCATTTTTTCCTTAAATCAACATTTTTAATTTAAATACTTTCATGTGTATCTCTATTATGGATGGGAAACAAGTACTTGCTATAAACAGAAAACCAAAACCAAATCCACTGCCATTAAGTCGATTCCAACTTACAGTGACCCATTAGGGCAGAGTAAAACTGTCCCAAACTGTTTCCAAGGCTATAAATCTTTATGGAAGCAGACTGCCTTGTATTTCTCCCACAGAGCAGCTAGTTGAGTTTAAACCACCAATCTTCTGATTAGCAACCAAATGCCTTAACCACTACGCCATCAGAGCTCCTCATAAACAGAACCATAAAAATATATCCAACAAAAAGGTAAAGAATCGTGTTAAATTCCAGTGAAATGTTGTCAGTCAACATTCTACTATAGCCTACTTTCTAACCAAAATAAAGGAAGAGTATTATAACTATTAAAGAAATTTTAAGAAAGAAAAGAAAGATGTGACACTTACAGATATAATCAAAATAGTGGAGAATATTCACAGGCTTGATAATTACCTCTATTACATTTAATCCTGAGTCTTGACTCATTATTCTAGGCTATTTGTTTGGGGATCCTGATTTGACAGTCTTGTGTCAATTATCCCTTCCAGCTACGGTCATCTCTTGCTTGACTACTAGAATCACCTCCTAATAAAAACCAAACCGAACTCACTGCACTGCTGTGGAGTCGGCTCCAACTCATAGTGACCCCCCTTGGGTTTCTGAGACAGTATCACCATGGAAGTAGGTTGCCCCTTCCTTCCGAGGAGTGGCTGGTGGGTTTGAACGGCCAGCCTTCTGGTTAGCAGTCAAATGCCTTAGGCAATACGCACTCCTAACAGTTTCTCTATTCACTCTGGATCCTTTCTTTGTATGGCAACTACCACAATCTTTTTCTAAAAGCACACTGGACCATGTCATGGCCCTCCCAAGCACCAAATCCCAACACATACACGTTCACATCTCTACCCCTTTCCCTAAACACACACAAACACCTCTTTCCTCCAATACACACAGAATATCATGTCACCACCCGCCTTCTCCTAACACACGCATACACCTCAAAACCCATTAATGGCCTTGTGCTCCTCTTCAGATAATGAGCTATGGAACCCTGTCTGGTCTCCAGCCTTATCTCCCACCATCCTCCTCCCTTGCTCTTCTCTCCCTGGTCTTGCATCTCTCAGTTCCTCAAACAGAACATTCTCCCTACACCACAGAGTCTAGGCTGCTTCCTCTGCCTGGAAGGCTCTCTCCATCTCCCCTGCACCAGCCCCCGTGCTTGAGTTGGCCCTAATTCAGAGCCACTTCATTAAGAACCCTTCCCTGATTCCAAGATGAAGTCAAGATCTTTTGCCTCCTTCCCTCACACCACTCAACTAAATGTGTAATTGTATACTCCTTTTATAGTTAAGGAGCTCTGGTGGTATAGTGGTTAAAGCATGGGGCTGCTAACCAAAAGGTCAGTGGCTTAAAGCCATCAGCCTTTCTGCAGAAGAAAGATGAGGCAAACATCTGCTTCCATAAAGATTTATAACTTTGGAAACCCCATGAAGCATTTCTACTCTGCTCTAAAGAGTCGTTATAAGTCAGAATCGACTTGATGGCAGTGGTTTTGTATTAGTCACTTAATGTCTTCCTCCTTGCACTGGACAGACAATAAGCTCCAGAAGGGCAAGCCCTTTGCCTACTTTTGCTCATTATTAGTTCCCTTGTATTCAACATAACACTCAAAATGTAGGTACTGAATAAATGTTGACTAAAATAAAGAAAAAAAATAGCTACAAATACATTTAATCAGGATATTTACACCTTTCTCTAGGCACCCTCTAAAGATGTTAAGCAGGAAAGGATTATGTACAGAGCCCATTGATTTTCAACCTTAGTTGCCCATTAAATTCCAGAACAGCTTTTAAAAAATACCCATGCTAAGACCCCATAAGGAGCTCTGGTATCATAGTGCCTAAGGCACCTGACTGCTAATCAGAAGGCTGGCAGTTCAAACCCACCAGCCACTCCTCAGAAGGAAGGTTGAGCAATCTACTTCCGTAGTGATGCCGCCTCGGAAACCCAAGGAGGGGTCGCTATGAGTCAGGTCTGACTCCACAGCAAATAACAACAAGAAGACCCCATAACTGACCAATTAAGTGAGAATCTCCACCACGTAGAGCCTGGACATCAGTATTTTTAAAAGCACCCAGGTAAGCCCAATGTGAGGGTTGAGGGCTGAGAAAACTGCTTTAAATAAAATTTTCATCAGTCTATATTTTTCCACCTTGCTCAAAAGCCCATCACAAGAAGCTTTGTTAAAATACCCAGCAGGAACTCAGACATAGCACAGTTCTCATTTCCCCTTTTGAGTTTAATGACCTTTTCAAAATGATTAATGGGTTTTACCTGTCGTACCCTCTTCCATGGCCTCTCCGTGCAGACATGACTTCCCTTTCTAGTGATCACAGATTATTTCCTGAGGAACCTGTCCAAAGCCACAGGGAGACTCAGTGGAAGAACCAAACCTATTGCCAATATTGCTCTCCATTCTCAGCCCAAAGCCTCCTCACCTCACTACACTGTAGCACTGTCCTACTTACCCATTTGGTAAATGGGTAGAAGCTGAAGGGAATGCAATTTGATGTCATCAGGCAACACATAGGATGAAATATCAGGAGTAAAGCGTCTGTAGGTTAAAAAAAGGGGTGGGGGGTGAGATCTAATTTCCATGTACTTTAAGCAGGTAAACATATATTAAATACTGGTGGATAAATGCTCTCAAATACCTATAGAGCAGGTGCTGAACATGGAAATATTTTATTTTTTCTTCAGTTAATCCCGTTGACTCCAGTGTAACAGATACTCCAGACTGTTTGCTTTTTTCACCAAGAAGTTCCATGGGCTTTTGGCACATAACAAAATCCTCTGCCTCAAGCTGGGAAGTTTCATTACTGATGACTTAAAAAATAAAATTTAAGTTTAACAACTTCAAATACTATTAGCTGTTTGAATGAAAATTAAGAGTCACAGCATCGTCCACCAATTAAATATACAAACATTTTATTTATTTTACATATACACACATACTTATGTCCTAATTTACCAAATCTTAATACTTACTAATTCCTTGCAACCAATCAGTAAAGTACAACAGGTTAGGTATTATCATCCCCATTTTACAGATGAGGAAAATGAAGTTTGTAGTGGGTTAATTGACAAATATATTTAGAAATACATTTCTGTACTATAGAATAAGATCTGTTCAGCCAGGTAATAAACCCAAATCCTGAGTTAAAGGAGTAAATAAATCTATACAAAATGTCCACCCCTCATCAGTTTGTCGTACTGTGGTGGCTTGTATGTTGCTATAAGGCTGGAGGCTATGCCACCAGAATTTCAAATACCTGCAGGATCACCCATGGTAGATAAGGTTCAGTGGAGCTTCTAGACTAAGACAAACTGAGAAGAAGAATGGGACCACTCACTTCTGAAAAACTTGGCCAGTGAAACCCTTATGAATAGCAGGGAAATACTGTTTGATATAATGCTAGATGATGAGCCTCTCAGGTTGGAAGGCCCTGAAAATACCACTTGGGAAAAGCTGCCTCCTCAATGTAGTTGTGTTGTTGTTGTTATGTGCCGTCAAGTCGGACCCGACTCATAGCAACCCCTCCTTGGGTTTCCCAGGCATTATCACTACGGAAGTAGATTGCCCCATCTTCCTCACGAGGAGAAGTAGAGTCGACCTTAATGATGTCGGTGGAGTAAGCTTTTGGTGACTCCGTATGCTGATGAGGCATAACTCAAAACGGGAAGAAGCAGCTTCAAGTGCTCATTAATGGATGCAGAATGTATGAAATATGAATCTAGGAAAATTAGAAGCTTTCAAAATGAAATAGAACACAAAAAGATCAATAACTTAGGCGTTGTTGTTGTTGTTATGTGCTGTCGAGTCAGCCCCAACTCATAGCGACCCCTCCTTGGGTTTCCGAGGCAGTATCACTACAGAAGTAGGATTGCCCAACCTTCCTTCCGAGGAGTGGCTGGTGGGTTTGA